TCCTGTCGCATCCTTACTCAGGGAAGGCAGGGAGGGTGACTGGCGCTGGTGCCATCATCTCCTGGCGATGCCTCCAGGGCAGAGCAAGTCAGTTGACATTTGCTGATGCCTTCTGAGCAGGGGTGAGCTCCTTCTTTCCTTCCTCCCTGCTCTCTCTGCCTCCCCTCCACCCTCAGCCCTGCAGCCAGCGAGAGCTTTCTAAGGAGCAAATGACAGCCACGTCTCTCCCCTGCTTACAAAATATCATCTAGATAATACATTTCTGTAGTAAAAAAATCCAAAGGTGTGAAAAGATTTATAAAACTTTCCTCCCATCGCTTTCTGCCATCTGCCTAATGCCACTCTCTCCACACACACAGGTAAGCACTGTTTCTGTTTTTCTTGTTTTCTTCAGAATTTCTTTATGCATATGCAAGCAAAAAATGAGTACATGTTCTCTCACCCAGCCATTTTTTTAACACATATTTTTTATACACATACTAGCATATTTCACACACTGTTCTGCAAGCTCCCCCCCGCCCCATTTAATATATCTTGGCATTTTTTTTTAGTCGTTACACAGAATGCTTCCTCGTTCTTAATACGGCTACAGAATGTTCCACTGTCCCTGTGCCAATGGATATGTGGGGCTCACAGCCCTTTGCTGCACCGGACAAGCCTCTAGTGAATAACTTCTACACTTGGCCAGCACAGGAGGTTTAGCTGCAGGATAGATTCTCAAAAGCAGGATTGCTCAATCAAAAGAACTGTGAGATTGTAATTTTGATAGTGACTGCCAAATTACACAGTGGAATCTGTTAAATGCCCATCAGCAGTGTGTGGCAGCCCGTGTCCCCTTAGCCCGGCTAGCAGTGTGCTATCAACCTTGTAGATCTTTACCAAGTGGATAAATATAAAACGGTCTTCTGTTATTAAAAACCTTTCATTGTAATTCCCATTCCCTCCAGGATAAAGTTCGGCTTCCTTGGGTGGACAGGGGAGTGGGCACAGCCTTGCCCTTCCTCAAGGACCCTTGTCAGCTGGTGGGGTGTGGACCTGGGCACAGCTCATGTTTCTGGACTTCAGTTGCTTAGCAGTGAAATGGGGCAAAAGCATTCCCTCTGACCAGTGCTCGAAAGATTCCCGAGAATGCACAGATTCTCGCCCAGGCAAGGCAGGCACTCCATACACACGAACACACGTTGATACCTCCTGGTCTCCAAAGGGAAGGAGAGAGAAGCGAGGGCTCAGAGAACCTTGGCAGGGGGTGGGGGTCCCTCTCCCCTCGCTCTCCTCATGCCTTCAACCCCTCATCTGTGTCACGCACTGCCACCTTGGCACGCTAAATGTCTGCACATCCTCACAGACCTCAGCCTACCTGCTGTGCCCGAGCTAACAAAGAGCATCTCATTAATGCTCAGCAAAGCTCATTAAGACCGTGAGTTGTGCATCAGTGGCAAAGGAAGGTCAAGGTTCTTTTCGTGGGAGTTAGTGCCTCTGAGACCCTGTGCCGCCAGTATTCACAAATAAGATGAAGGGGGATTTATTTGGAGGTAAGCAAGCAACCGGTTGTGTGGCCAGAGTTCCCGGAAACTCCCAAACACTCAGAGCCTTCCCCCAGCCTGGCCATGGTCCCGCTCCTGGAGGAAGAACTACCACCTGCCAAGAGCTGGACAGATCAGGCACTGCACAGGGCCAGACAAGGGCCAGACACGTTAGCTTTGATGAGGAGATGCAGATGAGAATGCCATCTCCAGGGGTGACCCTGGCCAGAGGCCGGTGGGGAGGGAAGCTGCCTGGCAGCATGGTGGGTGTGCGCTCTTTCCCCTCTCTGGGCCTCTGAGTGCTCATCTGTGAAATGGGAACTGCACTCGCAGGAGCATGAGGGTTACATCAGAGGTGTACGTGTGCCACGGAGCCCTCGCCACCCTGGGGGAGATGACAGTGACATAGGGCCAGGCTTCTCCACCCTGGACCTGCCTGCCCAAAACCCCCACAACACCCTGAAAAGACAGAGGCCGGGGGAAGGAAGAGGAGCTGTACCACAGAAGGAGACGGGTGGGTGGGGGGAGGGTTTCTTTACAAATGGGCATTATTTATTTATTTATTTACTGCGACAGTCTTGTTCTGTCTCCCAGGCCCAATCTCGGCTCACTGCAATCTCCACCTCCCAGGTTCAAGTGATTCTTGTGCCTCAGCCTCCCAAGTAGCTGGGATGACAGATGTGCACCACCATGCCCGGCTAATTTTTGTATTTTTAGTAGAGACGGGGATTCACCACGTTGGCCAGGTTGGTTTTGGACTCTTGGCCTCCTGTGATCTCCCCGCCTCGGCCTCCCAGAGTGCTGGGATTATAGGCTCAACCACTGCACCTGGCCAAATGGGCATTATTTGAACTGCATGCAAATGATATGCAAATGATTCTATCTCCATATTAAAACTAAGCTTTTGGGAAGGTCTTGGGACAAGTACTTGGAGATGTAGATCCTTTTTCTAAGCACCTTCTGGGGCATCCTGTCAATTTGCCAGCCTCCTCCCCTCCCCTCCACTCCTGGGCCTCTTCCCACCACCCTGCCCCATTTCCCTTGCATGGGTGGTCATTTGGACGAGGACTGACCTTGCAGATGTGGCCTCCTGCACACCTGGGGACTACCGCAAGTGGGTCCCAGGTCAGAGCCCGGCCTGTGCCCTGACCAGACCCTTCAGGGCTGTGTGCTTCAGGCTGTGGTCCTTCCCCTCAGCCACTGCGCTCTTGGCTAGGCCTCTAAGGGTCCGGGTTTTCCAGATGTTGGACGGGAAGATGCTCAGGTATGAAGCATTGTACAAACACAAGGGTTCTCATTCTGGATTTTCTAAGCACAGGCCTCTTGATCTGACCACCAACCTCAGACAACCCTGTAACCACCATCAGCCTTTGTTAGACTGTATTGAGAGGCTGTGAATCTGGTTGAAGGGTTGGTTCTTCTGGTTGAAGAAACACCCTGGGGACAGGCGGGTGGGGCTCGGCGCCTGGCTCCACCATTCAGTAGCTGTGTGATCCAGGCAAGTCAGTCTCAGATCCTTGGCTGCCCCGTGTGCAAAATGGGTGCGACAGCACCTACTCCTTATGGTTAACAAGTGAGCTCACACATGGGAACCCTGCTGTGTCCCTGGAAAGATGTTGAAGTCCTAACTCCCGGTACCTGTGAATGCGAGATTTGGGAATAGGCTCTTTGCAGATGATCAAGTTAAGATGAAGTCATGAAGGGGGGGGGTGCTAATCCAGTATGCTTGGTGCTTCTCTTAGAAAGAAGGTGACGTAAACAGAGAAACAGACTAAGAAAGTCACGTGAGGGCAGAGGCAGAGGCTGGAGTGACACCTCTTGGAGACAAGGAACAGGAAGGCTAGTTTGCTACCAACCAGCAGAAGCCTTCTAGGAGAGCAGGAGACAGACTCTCCCTGAAAGCCTGCAGGAGGAACCGACGCTGCCAATACTTTGCTTTTGGACATCCAGCCTCCAGAACTGTGAGAATAAACTGCTGTTGTGTAAGTCACACAGTGCGTGGAGCTTTTTCATGGCAGCCCCGGACACAGACACAAACCCTGAGGAAAGCCTCTGGCAGTCAGTGCCGCCCGCTAGGCTCACTCATTGCTTGTCTGATGTCTTTCTTCACTATGCATTGTGGGCCAAGGTCTGACAGTCCCTCAACAAACACTTGCTAAGTGGAGTACGGTGTACGTCTATCTTGCGTCCCCAGGCCCCCAGTTAGTATTTACAGAAGGCCAGGAGGGCTGGCCTGGAAACCCCCTTTGATGTCTTTCCCACCCTCAGGGATTCATTCCAGCTCAGTCTGAGTCCACACTCATAAAGCCCAGTGGCAATGTCAGTCTCCAGGGAAAGAGCTCAGTGACCAGCACAATACTCGGCACACGAAAGGCATCCTCAAGACGCCTGCTCTGCGGAGCCAGTTGGATCCCCTAAAGAAAGAAGCATCTCTTGAACCTCACCTCCCCCAGAGCGCCCTGTGACCTGTTCCAGGATGGTCAGGCACCCTCAGCCCACCCACCTCTCCCTCTGGCGCCAGCCCCAGCCTTTGTGCCAGGTTCAGGCTAGGCAGTGTGCAAGGTCGCTTCAACTTTAGAAATGTGGAGACAGCAGTGCTTAAAATGCTCGTGTTAACAGCGGTGGTCTGCAATCCTGTGTCACTTTAATAGGAACCCTCTGCCATGAGCAAGGCGGCAGGCATGGCAGCTCCTCCCCACAGGGGCGACCCCCCAAAACATCCACTCAGAGTCAGGTGGGAAACACGGGGGCTTAGATCCATGAGGAAAGCTGCGCGGAGCCCCACAGAAACCAGAGAGGGCCTTTGAGGGTCAGGGGTAGGACATGCAGAAGCCCAAGCCGGGTCCCTCTGTCTTCTCTGGCCAGGATCAAAAGGCCCAGGGAGGGCCACAGGGCCATTCAGCACTGGCTGCTGTAAAGCTGAAGGGGAGGGTTGTGGGGGAGAGGGGTGTAGGCGGTGTGAGGCCCCCACCCTGGATCCACTGTGCTCTTCCTGCGTGATCCCCGAGGGCAGCATGGAGCTCAGAGGCAGCTCTGGTTCTGCTACTGATCCAGCGGCAGGGCAGCCACTGTGTCCTGGCGCCTCAGCTCTCACATCGGTAGAATGGGGGTCACCCTGTAACATCCACACTGGAAGGTGGTGAGCACTGAGGCAGTGTGAGCGGGAGACTCCCTACAAAAATAACCTGACCCCCATGGTGACCGGGCATGGGAGGAGGGCTGGTCTCTTCTGCCACTGGGCAAAACGCCGAGTGTGGCTGCCAGCAGACGGCCTATGGGGTGGCGGCCGTCTCCAACTCCCAGCTCCGCAAAGGCAGTGCGGTCCACACCATTTGTGTGGGTGTCAGCCTCCACGCTGGCCCGGAGGGCGCCCTGGGCCCAGGCCTGGGGACACAGCTAGCTGGAGCCGAGCTGGGAAGCAGTTCCTGTCCCCCACCCACGGGACCAAAGGTGCAAGTGTCCAGAGCCCGGCCTGGGCTATAGGGAGGCCCCTGCAGGCAGGGGAATCTTATAGCCGCTCCGCAGGAGCACGAGGCAGGCACCCAGCCCCAGGGCCCCCGCCAGCAGCACGGCCCCCAGGGCCTTGAGGAAGGAAGTCCGGGTCCGGGTGAAGGAGCCAGGCGCCATAATGCCCAGCAGGGCGGTGCTGACGGTCAGTGTGTAGAGGATGGACACGCCTGTGTTGAGTGCCACAATCTTGCCGAACTTGGCAAACGGGGCGATGATGCAGAAGAAGAGGGGCACTGTGGCAATGACCGTGGTGAGGGCACTGGAGACGATGGCCACGCCCACGTGCCGCACAGCCTCCAGCGTACGCCACTGGCGCTGCGTTCGGGCGTCCTGGGGGCGAGAGGAGAGCTGGGAGCCCAGCCCGCCCACCCGCGGGACCCCTCTGGCCAGCACCTGGGGAATCGCGCACCCCTGCCCCAGGCCAGGTTCCTGCTCTGTCACTGGGATGAGAGCTGCAAGCGGCCTCACAGGGTTGGGAGGGTACGCACCGGTGGGTGGGAGGGTACGCACCGGTGGGTGGGAGGGTGCGCACCAGTGGGCACTGCTATGTCAATAGGATGCGAGGGTCTGCACAGCGGGTCCTCATAAATGGGAGCCCTGCTTGGAACTCATTTTGTTCCTCTGACCACAGGCAGTTGAATGTGTAACTGATTTGATTTTTACATATTTGTGAATGTTTTCACACCAACGCCAATTCCAAACTAAAGAAAAAACCATTACTAGGCCCAGAGCTGGTTTTGGCACTGAGTATGTGAACATGTCCTTACCAAGCCACCGGGGGCTGGAGCAGACTTGTGGCCTCTGGGTCATGGCTGGAAGGAGAATGAGCCATAGCTTGGGGCAACATGAAGCAGGAGGGCCCCCTTGGGATCCTGCATCTGGTCCAACCCTCTCATTGCTCACTTGGGGAGACTGAGGCTGGGGGGTGTGGACCTTAGAACTAGAGTCCCTAGGGCTTGGGGATCAGCTTTGGGAAACCTTAGTTTCTAGAACACAGCCTGCATGGGGGGGCCTGGTGCTGGGATGTCCAGCTGCCCTTGAGGGTCCCTCAGCTGCACCCAGGTGGGAGAAGACCGGATGTGGTGGGAGGTGGGTAAGGTGGGCAGGGTGCTCACCTCGGCCTGGTGCGGGGGCAGGTTCTCTCCAGCCAGCAGGTAGCCCTCCACCAGGTGGACGCAGTAGTCCACGGAGGAGCCAACGAGGATGGACAGCGAGATGGCTTCCACGGCGCCCATCTCCCAGCCACTCCAGTACATGATGGTCACCACCAGGCATACGATGCCTGCAAGGGGACAGCAGGGGAGGCAGCTCAGACCTCCCACCCTGGAGGCCTTAGGGGAACAGGGAGGTCTGGAGTCTAGCCCCCACCCTCAGGTGACAGGAGAGACAAGGCACACTGAGGGGACCCCCGAGGGAGGGGACAAGTGCAGCAACACATCACTGAGCTGAGGGCTACTACCTGGGTACCCTGGCTCTGCTCGCGAGCACAGACATGCGGGAGAGACAGTCCTATGAGCCACTGTCCCAGATGGCACCTGGCAGAAGGTCTTGTGACCTGGGGTGGGGGTGGGGGAAGCCTCCACCGAGGAGATGTGACAGTGAAGGCTTCAGAGACACTTGCTACCTGGAGGCCAACGAGGAAGACTCTGCCTCCTCCCATCCCTACCGGCCGGATGCCTGTCAGCCCCTCGCCCACATACCCAAGATGCTGAGGAGCACGGGCAGCAGGAGCAGGATGTGGGTGGTGAACACGGCCACCGCGGCCACGCAGATGAGCAGGGATAGCACCAGGCCGCACAGGGCGCTCTGCACCCCTGCAAGGGAGGACAGGGCCTCAGTGCGCTGCTCTGTGGGCGCTCACAGCAAGCTGTGCTGCTGGGGTGAGCCCTTGACCTTTCTGAGACTCCAATTCCCTGTCTGTAAAATGCAGTCATAACAGGACCTTACCCCACCTGCCTTGTTTGGAGTTGAAGAGAACACAGGTCAGGCCCTCAGCCCAGAGCCCAGGCACCCAGGAGAGGCTGGTAACTGCAGCTGCCATCATGGTCATGACTGTTACTTTTTAGGTGGCCAAAGTCCAGATTAGAGAATGTAGCCAGATGCCCCCGAAGGAGAGGACCCAAACTCCAGCCTCTGATCAGTGTCCTGGCCACTGAGGCACCCGGTTTCCCCAGGGCTCTTGGCCAGGACAGAGAGTGTGGCTCAGACTGGCCGCTCTGTGCCCTCCCCTCCCAGGTCCCTCTGCCTCCTGCCCACCCAGGGTGGAGGGGACGAGGCTGCTGCTTGCCTACGATTTCCATGAAGATCTGCTTCCAGTGCTCGCAGGTCTGGAAGCCCCGGCGCAGGGCTGAGCCCTCGGGGAAGGCCTGCAGCTGCTGCTGGAGGAAGCTCTCCCAGCGCAGGTAGTCTGAGTAGGTCTGGAAGGAGGATTTGCCCTTGTACGTGGTCTGTGGGGAGAGACGTGAGCCAGTGAGACAGGCAGGGGCTGTGGCCCACCCGCCCTTCCCAGGCATGGCTGGTCTGTTCTGTGGCCACCAATGGAGTGTTGCGTCTGTCGGGGAGGGTATGAACGATTCAATCCAAAATGAGTCCCCACCAGCTTCTGGAGGTATTATGTGATTGTGACAGCAGCACTGGTCCACATGCAACCACAGTCCCTGACCACCAGAACCCCCTTCAGCTCCCAGGGTCCCCCACACTCTTGTGTCCATGCAGAGCGCGTGCTATTCCCTCTGCCTGCTCAGCCAGCTCCTGCTCATCCTTCAGGACTTTCTGGGGTTCCGTCTCCTCCAGGAAGCCTTCCTTGATGCCCCAAGGTGGGCCTCCGTTGGGGTCTCCAAACCCTCAGTGCTTCCCCTACTCTTGTCACTGCCTGGCAACCTGCCTGGCCCTGGTAGGTGGGACTGTGAATTGCAAGGTCAGGAGCAGCCTGGCTGGCCCACAGTGCCCAGTCCCGAGGGGTGCTCATGGATGATGAATGAGAGAAACAGGCACTCGCCCTGCTCTAAAAGGTTCTTAAGGTATCTGCTCATCAATTCTGCTCCTGCCAAGTACAAGCCAGTTCCCAGGAGGCCTGCGTGTGCGTGCGCAGGTGCACGCGTGTCTGAGTGCTGGTGGGGTCAGCGTGGAAGTGGGCGCCCTGCTGCGTGGTGAGCCTGAGTGGGGACTTCTCTCCTGCCTGGAACTGCCTGGGGCTTCAGCCTGCAGAGGGAGGTGAGTTCTGACACATGCTGCAACATGGTGAACCTCGCAGTGAGTAAAATGAACCAGTCACTGGCTGGGCGCGGTGGCTCACGCCTGTAATCCCCACACTTTGGGAGGCCGAGGTGGGCAGATCACCTGAGGTCAGGAGTTCAAGACCAGCCTGGCCAACATGGAGAAACCCCATCTCTACTAAAAATACAAAAAATTAGCCAGGTGTGGTGCCGCATGCCCGTAATCCCAGCTATTTGGGAGGCTAAGGCAGGAGTATGGGTTGAACCCAGGAGGCGGAGGTTGCAGTGGGCTGGGATGTCTCCACCGCACTCCAGCCTGGGCGACAGAGCAAAACTCCATTTCAAAAAAAAAAAAAAGAACCAGTCACCAAAGGACAAACACCGTATGATTCCATTCACATGAGGCCCCCAGAGTTGTTAAATTCATTGAGAAAGTAGAATGGTGGGTGCCAGTGACTGTGGGAAGGGGAGAGGGGGAGTTAGTGTTTACTAGGGATAGAGCTTCAGTTTGGAAAGACGAAAAAAGTTCTGGAAGTATATGGTGGTAATGGTTGCATAACAGTGTGAACATACTTAATGCCACAGGGTTGTATGCTTAAAAATGGTTCAGGCCAGTCGCGGTGGCTCATGCCTTGTAATGCCAGCACTTTGGGAGGCCGAGGTGGGTGGATCACCTGAGGTCAGGAGTTCGAGACCCGCCTGGCCAATATGGTGAAACCCCCTCTCTACCAAAAAAACAAAAAACAAAAACAAAAACAAAAATTTAGCTAGGCATGATGGTGGGTGCCTGTAGTCCCAGGTACTACAGGCACCCACCTGTAGGCTGAGGTGGGAGAATTGCTTGAACCTGGGAGGCGGAGGTTGCAGTGAGCCAAGACCATGCCATTGCCCTCCAGCCTGGGTGATAGAGTGACACCCTGACTCAAAACAAACAAACAAACAAACAAACAAAAAACCTGTTAAGATGGTTAATTTTACCTTATGTATATTTCACCACTGTAAAAAAAATGCAACCTAACAAAGACCCATCTGGGTCTTTGAACTGGTGTCTGCATTTGATTGGGGGCCTGTTGAGGGCTCTGAGGCCCCCTTGGCTGGTGGCTGGTTTCGTTGCTTGTGCAATGAGTAGCACAAATAAATAGTGGGAAGCAAGTCAGGGCAGGGGGCCAGAGGAGAGTCACCCCCCCGCTTAAGCTGTCACATTGATTCTTAGTCCCCAGACTTTCCCATGTGTTCTTACCTCCACACCTGCCAGAGGGGCACAGGGATCTTGAACCCTCTTCTACAGATAAGGCCAGAGGGGACGAGTAACTTGCTCAGGGACACAGAGCACACCAGGATCCCGGCAAGGACTGAGCCCAGGTCTCTGCACGGAGGCAGCAGGGACCGGCTTGCCAAGCTGGGGAAAGCCACGTGCCAGGGCCGAAAGTCCCCACAGGGCTCAGGTCAGGAGTGTGTGCATGTGTGTGTATGTGCACGCGTGTGCCTATGCCTCCTTGGGCAGAGCTCAGCGAGCGTCCGGGGTGACAGAGGCAGCAGTGAGGTATGGGGGATGGCCGGTCCCCTGGCCACCCTGAGGGAGGCTGCCAGGGTCTGGGGCCCCAACCTGCCCTCCCACAGTGGCAAAGGGGGGCATTCTGGACTTCCACCGGCCCCTACAGACCAGAGACTAAAAAATACCGTGGATCCCAGGCTGGTGGAGAAGGAGGGAAGGGAAAGGGTAGGTGGAAGGGAACTGGCAGGCCACCCATGGGAAGAAAGGGCAGCGCTCTGCAGTCAGGGGACCTGGTTTAGCACTTGACACTGACACCCACTAACTGTGTGACCTCAGGCAAGTCACTCCACCTCTCTGGGCCTCAGCATCTCCCCCTGATCTGGGAAGAGGGCTGAGATCAGAGGTGGCACACCCAGGGCAAGTATGCAGCACGGCGCCCAGCGACGCTGCCTGGGCTCACCGACTCAAAAGCCATGGAGATCCACTGCACGCGGCCCTCCCTGACGCCCACAGCCCCGTGGGACAGCTGCCCCGGGAGCAGGTTGGGCTCCGGCAGCTCCTTGCACTCAGGGTGCAACATCTGCAGGAAGGAGGAGATGCTGTAGCCTGTGGGGAGAGGCAAGAAAGGGAGTGGGTGGTGGCCCTGGAAGAGCCTGTCCCCCTGCATCACACCTGTGCCCACGCGCTCACCTACCTCTGAGGCTTAGAGTGTTTGTTACCATTGGCAACGGCATTGGGAAACCTACAACATGCATTTGCCATCGGGGTAGAACATGACGTGTGGGCCCCTCCCAGGGACGCCCCTGTGGTGACCTCATCCACATTGGCTGTGGGCCAGTCCCTGGCCCTACCCCCCAATTTTGGAAAGGCTACTCCTGCAGATGTGCCCCACATCCCACACACGCACACCTCTGCACCAGTCCTGTTCACACACAAGCCTGCTCACATCCAAAACCCCTTGACTGCCGGCACACACCCCACCCTGGTGTGGACACACTCAGCACAGACACTCAGCACAGACACTCAGCAAAACACCCCCACATGCCAGACACTGTGTCCTTCGGCTGTCTACCTTGGACTGGCCTCTGTGCCTCCCCAGTCAGTCCGTTCTCCCTCGGAGGAACAGCTCCCCACACCCCACGCACCTGAAGGCAGGCACTGGGCCCCGCCTGGCTTCACCAGCTCGGAGTTGGCTGCGATGGCCTTGCAGAGGCGACACAGGTGTCCAATTTCCTTGAAGAGGTCAAAGCTGCTGTCATAGACAACGCTGCCCTTTCCCAAGGAGACATAAGCCGGCCCAGGCCGCTCAGTGAGACAGGGACTCAGTCCTGCGTGCTCACCCCCAACCCCAGGGAAGAACTTCCAGCAGCTCCCTGCTACCCGTCACCCTCACGTTGCCAGCCTCCAACTGCTCACTCACTGCCCCACCCTAACCCTCTGTCCTGCCCCCACCAGCATCTTCTGCTTCCATCACTGCACACCCCACACAGGCCCCTCCGCCTCACCTCCTCCCCTTCCCCCACCACCTTCTTACCTGAACTTCTTGCTTTTCTCCCCACCCTCCCAGCCAGCCATATCCTCACTGTCCTGCAGGACCTGCCTGGTCCCCCAGCCCCTGCTCCCAGCGCCTGCAGATACCCAGTGTGGACTGAACACACAGATCTCCTCCGACTCCACCTTGCTCCCGACTTACTCCACGGCTGCCATTCCCGTGGACCCCGCCGGGCTGTGACTAATTTATTAAAGGCAAGGGACACCCGCCCGTCCTTCCTCCCAGGAATCCTTAGCACCCACTATGTGCCGAACAGTCCCAGCTCAACCAGTGCCTTCAAACACTGAAGAGCCCTACACCGGACAGGAGTGCATGTGAGGGAGGGAAGCCTCAGAGAGGAGAAAGCCACAGCCCAGCTCAGAGCGAGGGGGAGGGCAAGGAGGTGCCCACCTGGACTGCCCTCTCTCCATTCGAGTCCCCCACAGGCACCCAGCTTGGACCCTAAACCCAGATTCCTGGGTGAGTCTAAGACGTCAATGCCGCTGAGTCCTCAAGAAAAACAGGACCCCCAGGAGCCCATGGGGGATCTGTCTGGGCTAGAGGAGCCATCGAGGAGCCAAGAGGGGGTGTGAGGAGCTGGACGTGGTTCCCTGGACAGGTGCTTATTTGCAAGACTGTTGCAGCTGGGGCCCTCGGCATCTGCCCAACGCATGCCCCGTACCGGGTCTCCAATGACGTGGTTGTCCACCTGCCGAGTGCGGTTGACGCCAATAATGCCAAAGACCACGAAGACCATGGCCCCAGTATCCACCAGTGGCCGCACCGCTGGCTTCCCGCAGCCTGTGTTCACGCAGGGGTTGAAGCCGAAGGTGGCCGAGAGATGGGCCTTGGGCACTGCGAACAGGGAGTCAGAGCTGTAAGGGAAGGCGGGGCCCAGCTCCTGAGGTCCCCACCTGTGTGCCCCTGCTGTACCTTTCTCACTAGGCACGAAGAAGAAGCCTTTGGTAGGCCCATCGGGGCTGGAGCTGAGCAGGCAGCCAGGGGGTGCCATGCACACGCGCCCGTGGAAGGGGGGCTTGTGGGACTGGGCGAAGTACAGCTTCCTGTGGAGGCAACGGAGGCCGGGCTGAGGCCAGAAAGGCCAGGAGGAGTCAGGGGAGGTGAGGCCAGTGGGCCGGGGCTGGGGGTGGGGTGTCGTGGGGTCTGGACTTGGGCTCTGCTCCCGCATGGGGATTTGTTCTCAGGTTGAGGGCTGAGGGAATTGCCCTAGGCTGGGGGTCTGGAGGCTGTTCTAGCCCCGCCCCTGCCAAGGCTGACTATGGGAATCTAGTCGAGGCCCTTCCCCTCTGCCCCTCAGTCTCCCCATAGGAGTCATGAAGGGTGGAGAAGACCAGCAGCTTTCAAACTGTCCCCCATTGGGTACAAAGGTTCAGGAGGGGCCCCAGGGACAACCCTAGTGGTCCCCGCTCAGGGGTCCCCAGCCTTGCCTCAACCCCAACAGTTAGGGAGTCTCTACATTCTATAGGAAGGAAGCGCTCTAGGGTCAACAGCTGGCTAACCACTAGACCCAGTGCAGCTCAAAGTTCTTTCCAGAATGTTTCCAGCTCATCCAGGCAGGCTGCCCAACCCCTGGTCACTGATGTGTCTGTGCAGGTAACACTGCAGGTCAGCATGGGGCTCAGGGGAGGACAGGCAGAGGGGCCCCCCTCCCAAGTCAGGATCCCAGGCTGGAAAGGACTCAGCCAGTGCTGTCCTGCCATTCCCCGGCCTCCAAGCTGCACCCCTCAGCCCCATGCAGAGTTCAGACTCCTCTGGGTGTTTGACACTCCAAAGCTAGCCCCATCAGAGACCAGTCCCCGTGTGTCACTGAGTTCTGTCAGAGACCACAGTCCCCGTGTGTCACTGAGTTCTGTCAGAGACCACAGTCCCTGTGTGTCACCGAGCCCCGTCAGAGACCACAGTCCCTGTGTGTCACCGAGCACCGTCAGAGACCACAGTCCGTGTGTGTCACCGAGCCCCGTCAG